TTTTTTTTTTTTTTTTTTTTTTTAAATTCTAATTTTTTTTTTTTTTTACTATTGCATACAATACTAACATTACTTACACTACTAAGACTTCTTACAATGGATACATGCATTCAACGTGAGCCTTTGGAACAATAGTTAACTACCATGTTCGATAAATGCGGCTCTACAAAAATTTGGAAGATCTACCGATGTTTGGGGTTGTTTTGAATGAACCAAGTATTTCACTCGCCCGTCATAGATAATTATAGCCGACTTGGCGAGCACAGGCCTCGTTGGCGGTCCAGCATGCGCTCTAGAAATAATTGTTAACTACGCATCGTGCTTCAAGATTGTTACTAATAAAGTTAGAAGGTAAATTTAACTGTAAGTGTTGTATTGTAAGTATAGTATAGTATTGCTAGTAGCGTATCCCACATTGTAAGTAAGTACTGTTTTGTAAGTAGAGTATAGTATTGTTAGTAGCTTAAGTATCGCACATTGTAAGTAAGTACTGTAAGTTTTTGTATTGTAAAGAAAAAACAAAAAGTTAGAAGGATTCTTGAACTACAAGAGACCAAAATAATATGGAACACTGGGCCGGGTTGTTCGAAAGTCGGTTAACGCCAACCCAGGATTAAAAGTTAACAAGTACTTTTTTTGTATAAAAGTGTTTTTCACTGCTTATGTTTTGTGCGCGCAGTTCAGGTTTGAGAATACTCAAACTCAAAACTGTAGAACAAACAATAAAAAAACCCCTAACAACGCTCCATTCAATTTGTTTCCTTAATTATTTGTTCCGTGTCTGAATATGACTAACAACTTAGATCCCAGCAAGAGTCTAAAACTATAGTTCCTTCCCAGTCTCCCAGCTGTTTATTTCTATCCGAGTTAATGAATAACAGCCACCTTAATTAAACGGATCCAAAGGACGCACTTACCGCTGCGAATTCACGCATCTGCACGCAGGTAGAACTACATGGTAGATTTAAAATGAGATTCAGGTCATAAGCATGGCCGCGCACAGCGGTTATAAGTGAGGCAACGTGACCTTTGTCGGGGTCCGCATTACATCATCCCAAAGTGACTGTCTGAAAAATATGGCTAACGGACGGGAAAGGACTTTTATGATAAGCTGATGAATAAAAGGGCTAAAGGTAAGGTCAATGTTCAAATTGAACAACATTTTTCTCATCAATTGATGAATGACCGGATAAAGGCTAAACTGTCACTAACAGTTAATTTATTGTTATTTGTTATTGAATATTACTCTGTCGCCACCCCACCACAGTAATTTTGCTCAGTCATATTACCTGGCGAGAATCATTTGTTTTGTCTGGTCAACACTCCGACGTTCATCTGTCGCTGGTTTGTTTTAGGGACACGCATTATCCTTTAAGAAACATGATTCACAATTTTCGAAAAATAACTATACTGCCACCAAATTCCGAACTTGCGGATCAAGGCAGACAAACAAAGGATATTAAAAAGAGGTGCTTTTGTATAGTCACTCCCATATGAAACAGAAAATTTCAATTAAATTGCCTTTACTTGTAATTTGGGTTTATCGCTTTGATACTGAAGCAAGGACAAGATTAACAAGATAACAGGTGATATTTTTACAGCGAAAGGAAATTTGAGCTAACCACCTGCCGATTTCATACATGGATGGCTTCGACTGCTCTCGTTATCTTCATTTTTCATTCCTACAAGAAGGCTTTTCTTTTCTTTACAGCTTTTCTCGTAGCTTTCTTCTGGTTAACTGAATTTTAACTCCATTACCTGTTGTACTCTTGCACATTTTCTTTTCTTTCAGTTGTAGTCAACTGAAGACAAATGTAACCTCACTGAATGTGAAGCGGATAACACAGACATGAGAGTATTGTCGCTCGCCCTTGTAATATTTCTACCAACAATTTGTGCTTTCCATTCAGGTAAGAGTTTACAGAATGCTTTGTATGCTCTTTCAAATAAAATTTATCGCTAGAAGTCCTTGATTGTATCGCAAATCGCGGTGTTTACTAATCAGTTGCACCAATTAACTGCATGATTGCACTGACTTTAGTGAATGTTTGTTACCATTTGTGTCAACAACCATGGAATATAATGTTATTCCAAATCACCAAGTAAGAATTACTGTGATACCGCTTTAATTTAAATAACTTCAGAATATAAGTCACAAATAAGGAAATAGCAAACGATATGTGTATTTATAGGTAAAGAGGAAGCTGCAATATTTGTTTTGAATTCTTCAAACAAAGTTTAGTCCCGGAAGCATATTGGTTAGCAAATTCTTTTAAACCACAAGAGTGTATATACCTAAGATGGCATTCAAAAACAGGAAGCGAAATGAAACACATTATGATGAACCTTCAGTCTCGTGGGCGTGCATGCAATAAATCAGGTAGTAACCACAAACCGCACAGCAGTTTGCCCTACCAACTGAGCTACCATGCCGCTGTAAAAAGCAAGTTGTATTCAAATCCGTAATAGACTAAAGTGATTCAAACTCATGACCACTCTGTGTTACTCATTCAATTAGGGAACGCCAAGCCAAAGGAAAGCGATGACAAACGGGATTTTCTCGCTGATGCTATGCGTGAGATGGAATCTGGTAGAAAATCGTCGAATCTAGCATCTGCTGTCAGAAGAGTTCCAAACGTAATCAGAGTGGTTATGAGACCGGAAATTCCCCCGACCCGTCACCACCACCGTGGACACCGACATCGACACAAGGGTGGCCTTGCCTCTGTTTTCAAATTAGCCGAGGGATTTAACAAACTATCTATGCAACTCCCCGGTAGTCTCAGAAACAAGACAGCTCGCTTATTCAATACAGCAAACACATTTAAAGAAACTGTTCGATTTCTCGAAAGAGTCAATAACCAACTGGACGATATGTCAAAATCTCAAGACAAGACAAATAAACTGACAAAAACAGTTAAACCTGCAAACGCTACCCTAAAAGGTGACGACGAAGTCATGGTGACGGATTCTTTTCCATTATTTCCAGAACTGAGAAGCATCGTTGAACATGGGAAGCCATTTGATCCGGATGTAACAAGAGCAGCGTTTGCGAGAGCAAAGCAAATTGTCTGGGATACCGTTGGGCAGGATCCGACAACCACTTCAGAGATTGGTCACTTGAATAACACTAAATTGACTAATGCTGTAGCTCTGCTTGAAATGGCTGTCCGAGAGGCCGAGAAAATGGAAAGAAATAAGACAAAAACTGTCGATCAAGAAACAAACCCCATCAAAATGATCCCTAAAACCTCCCAAACCAATACGAAAGTTAATCGATCAAAACAGGATGCAGTGCAATTAAAGATCTTAAAGAATATTCTTTTACAGGAACTAAAACAAGCAAACTACACTAAAGAAAAAGCTGGCATTCTCATCAGTGATATCCCATTTCAGAAATTAAGAAACGAAGAGCAAAGCAGCTTAATGCAAAAACTTTCTCCCTCAACAGCCAATTCTTCTGTGGATTCAAACATGAATCCCGGCAAAGGAAAGCCAGTCGGTGACACCCAGGCTCTTCTCGAAAACTACACTTCGTTTATAACCAATATATTGAAGGCTGCCCATCTTAGTGTTTTAAAGAACTTGACAGGTGCGGATTCATCAAGTTCACGGGAAAACAACGCTACAAACTTAAACCGGAACAGCCAACAATCAAATACTAAGGAACAAAGTGCGCAAAATATTTCTCTTCAGCAGTCAAGTGCAGTCCAACACCTGAATCCGACAAAGGAGCAGCAAAAGGGGCAGCAGTTATTCTTTGCAAATGCAGCACAAGAACAACAACAACAACAACAACAACAGAAGCAACATCTTCGGCCAGTCATTTTGTCGAAAGAACGTCTTGCGGCGCGAAAGGCTTTTGGTACAGCGCAAAAGTTGGTTAAAGCATTCCTAGCACGACAAGAACTCTATAAAGCAGAGAATGAGTTCTTCAATAAGATTCACGAGATGTTGAATAAAACAACTCCAAATGGTCCTTTGACTGCAGGTCAAGCAAGCGACGCAAAAAATTCTAAGATCACTAGTCAGCCCACAGCTGCAAGTCCAATTCATTCTCCACTGAGTCAGTCTCCAATAAACACTGCAAGCAGCTCATCCACTGACGAAGGAGACAATCAGAAACAAACATCGGAGGCCCAGAAAAAGTTTGAAGAGGCAGCTCACCTTGAGGAAAAAGTGGCAGCCCAACAGGATGAGATGTACGACGCATTAATGGGCCATACAATTGGAACTGTTAAGGGTGGGGGAGATGGGGCATTTGATGAGGAAGGAGCCATTCGCGAAACTCCAGAACAAGACGGAGTAGAAGACTCTTACAACACGGAAGACTATGGCGATTTCAAGGATAGTGATGAAGAAGCAGAGAAAAAGTTCTACCACGACCATAGTCAAGGCGATTTGGAGGCCGACGCAGTGGGGGAAAGTTCTTTAAGCCTTCGTAGCAGAATCAGCTCAGCGAGGTCAGAACAGTCTGGAAGCGCAGAATCTAGTGGAGTCGCCATAACTACGTCTAAAAAAGACAAAACGTTCAATAATAAAAACATTTATTCCACAACTGAAACGAGTGGAGAAAACTCTGGTGATGGTAATACCGGGGAAAAGCAGTTCAATATGTACTTGGTTTCAAATTCCTTCAGAACAAACAGACATAAAACCTTTCAGAAGATCGCAAAACCCCTTAGCCAAAGAAGAGAACGAAAAAGGAAGACTCATTACAAAAATTGAACTTTTGGCATACGGTTAACAGATAACTGAAGGCAGGGTTTTGTAACGTATTAACAGGCGCATGTGAAAAAACCGGGTCCTAAATCATAACGCCAATCTCAGGTTGCTATTTGGAGCAATTATTGCTGAGAAAGTTAAAAGGGCCAATTCCGCAAAAAATAAAGGATATCCGTTGTTCTAGTCACAAATATTGTAAAAAAAATCACTTATAATTCATAATCAGAGTAGATGATCTTTGACGAGAGATTAATGTTGGTTGTCAGAGAGCGGCTTACTGGAAGAAGAGTCCACGTGTTTCCTGAATTAATCAAAACAGTTACCTAACCGTTAATGGCTTTAATGACATTTCTTCTTTCAAAAAACGCCTGATTGTTTAGTATCTATCAATATCAGTGTAACGTCCCTCGCTTACTGTCATCTTCAGATAATTAAGAAACTGAAAATAGCAGATGCATGATATTCAAAGTACTCCGCCTTAAAATGATATTTGTTTGTTTGTTTGTTTTTTCTAAGTAAATAGTATTATCATAATTTATACCTGGCGAGGGTTTATTAGCCATTAACCTGAATTAAGCTAATCCCGGCGCGGATCGATGATTTCTAGTATAATGCCTGAAATAAAATTTTATTCTGTGATAGTCATTGTTTTTTGTTTTTAATGCCTTTTCTTGAATTGTCTCAGGCTTACCCTTACCCTAGTCTATTAAATTTAAAATAGAAATAAGTTGAACATGTTGAAAGAGTCTTCAAATAACAAATATATAGAAATAAAGAAAATAAATTGAACAAGTTGGCTCATCGGTGTCAGCAGTTGAATACTGCTACTTCCCCTGAATGGTATGCTAGTCTATTGCAGGTAGAATCGCATAGCTCAGAGAATTCTTGCACCCTGTTTGGTTACCTAGGCGAGATATTCAGCGTGGAATTGCGACTCTTGAAAGCGAAACACGTTGAATATTGCAACATATTCACACAGACTAGACTTAAATGAAAGAAGAATTAAAAGAATTAAAAGAAGGCTATGCGATCCATGGAAAATTCATAACCTGACTCGTGAATTCCACGTTAAATTTCACTTGAAAAACCAATATCGCACTCATCGCTTCGCGATTCATGTGATAGCGGTTTTCCGCGTGAAATTTAACGTGGAATTCCCTCATCAGGTAATGAATTTTCCTATAATACCACACCATCACTTCACCCCAATCAGTATTTTGTTGGCTTTCTCCTACAACAAGCCCTGAAATGACCAGATGTGTTATCCAAAAACACGTAATAAGGAAACCAACTGATCCACCAATGTTGAGTGTTATAATTCCTGTTTTCATTTTCCGTAACCTCTATTTAGCCCCACTTGCTCCCCCCTTTTCCTCTTCAGGTCTTTCCTCCTCGGTATGTTACGGTAACGAGATCATGCTTGCAATATGAAATTTCACGGACCATCGAAGTTATTTATTTAAATAATAAGCCAATTATTGAAAACGAATGATGGATAGTCAGGGCATTATTCATTTGCCATAAAATTAAAGAAAACTCATAAATGTAAATAGAGCTTTATCTAAGGATTGTCAGCGCAACTCTTAGATACGTAGCGATCTGGTAAATGTA